GTAAACCTTTTCGTTAAAATGACCGCCATTTTCTTAAAAATCGAAATTTCGTAAAATCCCTACGTACAGCATTAAAAAATATTGTTGTTAATAGGAACATTCTTTGTTTTTTTTCTAGGAGCCACGTACAGAGCGGAATTTGACACGCCGTCTAACGGTGTTCCTCCAAAGGAATGTATTTTGGCGCCACCTACAAGAGATTATTTTTGAAACTTTTTCAGTTTGTAATTACAGATTAAAGTTACATTAATAAATGACTAAAACCGGTTTTGTTTCTGCGCACTCTTTGTATGCAAAAAAAAAATTCATGAAAAACGCCTCCAAAATCGCAGTCAAAGGTGGTATCCTGCCTTAAGAGCGCAGGCTAAAGGAAAGAATATTCGCGCGCGCTCGCAGAAGTACGTGTGCGCACGTATATAAACGCGCGTAATACTCGTTATATTATTAGAAAGTTCATGACACGCCAGGAAACGTTATAGCGAGATTGTGCGAGGTGATTTTTGAAAATCGACCGGTCGATGGTTCACGGTTGGCCGCTTATCGTACAGGTGCCGATAAGCGGATAAAGGTCAGAGAGTAGAACAACGTGGACGGTACCTCTTGCGATACTACACGCCGAGTTAAATATAAAAGCGCTGTGACACCGACTGCGCGTGAAATTGTTAGACGCCGGGGCGTCGTGCACGCATCTCGTTATCCACGCTAATCCGCTGTTCCTCTGTTAACGTCGGTAATTTTATTCAATTACTCAGATCTGCGTGGCGGCTCGAAGTAGTGCGTGGCGCATTATTGGAAGCAAGGAAGTATGATATTATTAAAGAATATAAATATAAAAATGGAAGCTAAAGAGGGACGACTGTACATAATATTTTTAGGCGTACGCCAGTTCGCTGTTTCTATGCCGCCGCTGATAATCTTAGTTAATAATCGAAATCGCGTGTTTTTAATGCAGCTCGAAGGCAGCGCACGCAAAAAAACACCGTATTATCCAGAAGGATCGTTATTAATTAATTTATTATTTCTATGCGAGAGGAAGTAGGATATTGTTTTAATACTGGCTCTCTTTTTTTCTGGTTTTAATTCCGCAGCATTTTTCATGCCAAGTGAAATGTATTTTAAGACATTGAGACAAGATGTGCGCTGCTTAGTAAACGAATAAACGAAGAGATCCGAGTTCAAATCCACGGACACCGCTGGTTTTTTCGGAATTTCCCCGAAGGGAAGTGGTTACCACCGAGAGTATCCTGCCACACATATCCTTTTAGCGGTACAGCCCTCCAGATTGGAGGTTTCCTTCGGCAAGGTTTAGCAGCCTGCCGAAGATGAAGTAAAAACCAAATGCTCAGAGTACCAGTTCGTTCTGTACCGGAAAGAACTGGATGAAACGGGCCTTTAAGCCTACAATACACGAGGAAGAAGAAGAGACAAGACTTAGTGGGTTTTGATTTGTGAAACGTCGCGGGATGGAAAGCGCGCTTTCCGGACGAGCGCAACCTTGACGCGTTTCCGTTTAAAGAATGCCAAACGCACCCAACGTCTATGAATATTTACTGGCGGAAATCGCTCGGCAAACGCGACTTTCTCGGTCTACGCTGCGGGCAAATAATGGTGACTCCGCGATAAGAGCCTGTTGTCGCCGCTTCCTGCGCGATGCGCCGGCACGCTGTCGTAAAAATTGTCCCGCCGTTATAATAAAGTGCCCCCGCGATTCCCGGCGACGTTGCGAAAGAAAGTTTTCTGCTGAACCCGGCGAGGACTCCCAGGAAGACTCGAGAGAAGTCTACTGGGAGAGAGGTATCTCGCGACGGTTTTTGCATGCGGGCAACTCGTAGATACACTTATACTACTTTGTTCACATTGCTCCCAAGGGAAGATCACTATGGTCAGCTCGTCCGCAACCATGAGAACTTGTTGGCCGTGCTGATCAATTATCGTACCGATGGTCTTACACGGGAAGACCGGCTGTGGCAAAAATAACTAAAATTAAAATGTTGCCGTATAAAATAGCAGGGGCGTCTACATTGTTTTGCGTTGCAACATTCGCCAAGTTTGCTGCACAAAACGCACACAGTTGTCTCCACTACTTAACATACCAATGTGGGTATTGCAACCACAGATATAGCTGTCCCAAATATTACTATTTATTGGAGTTGTGCCAACCCTAATTAGACATGTGGTAACCGTATCGGTCTCTCCGTGTACCGGTCAGTGTAAATGTACCGATTTTTGCTCGCTCTTGTTGTACACGATACAGCAACAATCGCGCTGTCGGATAACCGTTTGCCACCTCGTCAGTAACCGCGGGTCATAAAGATATTTTTGAGGGGAGTTGTAGTGTTAATAGCGAACGACACAAAAGTGTCCGCAGGGAACGGGATGGTTTCTCGTAACAGTTGAAGCTTTTTGAGCGTCTCGGTTACTTTTTGAACCTTAGATTGGACACTTTCGGGGACGATTTTCACAAAGGTGCGTCGTCATTTTTGTTGCAGGGCAGCGAACACCTAATCACATTCGCGCACTTGTCGGACTACAACGTCTACAGGATACCAAACGCCAAGCGGGTTTTCGGCGCACCCTTCGAGTGGGGCGCCTGCCTGAGGCCGAACAGCAACGCCGAGGCCGAAGACACGGAGGCTGGGGAGCGCGGGATCAAGGTCATTACTTTCGAGAACGAAAAATCGCGCACCTGCTGGCTCACAGCCATGAGACTCGCTAAGGTAAGCAACGTGATTTCTCTTCCTCGCTCCTGTTCCGCTATTGTCGTATTCTGTCCGGGGAGCGCGGCGTCGCGCGGAGACTCGAGTGTGCGCCGCGAGTAGTTTGGAGCGGGTGCATCAATGGGCGAGCCAGTTGAACGAAATTATTGCTCGCCCGAACGGAAACGTCGTGTCGTTACGCGAAGTGTGTTCTTCGCGATTAGGATTGCTACGAATGTCGGTAGATTCGCGCGGAAAGTGCGTAACCGAAGATTAACGACGACGGAGGGTATTACAAATGGCCATCGGTAAATCAGTTTCGGTAAATAATCGCTTCAATTTGTAAGTGGAAAGCTAATATCAAGCGGAGAAACAGGTACTTAAATTCGCGGCGAGGATAATAACGTTTACAAAGTATCGCTACAATGTTTCGTTTCCCAGCCGCAATTCCGCGTCTTCTTATTCGACTCTCGGCTCTTCCTTCACGACGTGATCAACCCTCTGCGGACGGGCCGTGGGTATCATTAGGTCCGTGATGGAGCCGGGTATAATGAGCCTTATTTTCTTTCCGTTCCTCCCCATTCCTACCGCGCCCGCGTCGACGTCGAATGTCGAAACTTGGTGAAGTTCAAAGAAGTTGCGTGACTCGCGCGCGGTTCGTGTTTAACGGAGAGAGAGGAAACACCTCCGCTCTCTTGTCGACGTGCGTACAACGCTACACCGCGCAGCTTCAGCACGTTTCGCCTGGCCGCGTTTCTTTTCTTCCTCTTTTAGAGAAGTGGCGGCACTGACACGGTGCACTTTTCTCACCTCCCTCCTTTTTTTTCCTTGACAAAAATCGAGACACCGGGGCTGGGCGCTCTTATTTCCATCGTCGCTGATAATATCGGTTTATATTCGAGTGCAGGCAGCCTTTGTTTCCGCTCGTCTTCTCTCTTTCGCTCTGTACCAAGTGCTCGCCGCGAAAAGTAACTCGTGGCCGGTAACGGTGTGCGCTAGCAACGCGCGATTGGCAGTTCCGCCAAAGAAAGAAAGAGAGAGAGAGACCTTAGAATACGGCCGCCTACTCCCTATTACGCTACTCTTTACGGGCCTATTCTTCCTCAGGCTGAAGTGGCTGCTCAGACCGCCTCTCCAGTCTGGCCGGTCTCCAGGAAGTGGAGTCCGGGCACGGCGTATTATCATCGCTCTATCGTTCGCGGAGTGATAATCGTGCTCGCGGAGCAAATTAAGACTTAAAAAAGTAACGTTTAACGTACAAGTATCCCGCCTTCCGGCAGCCACGCATATGCTCCGAAACTAAAGTGGAACATTGTAATTTAAACAATATACTTTTACGCGAGGAAGCAGAATTTTTCACTACCTTTTACGCGCTCGCATAAAAGAATTTATATATAAAATAAAAATCTTGCAATTGATCTTCACTGATTGCGAATTAAATTAAATTAATGAAATTCCCAATTTCGATCTCTCTCTCGCCTAATTTACACTGCTGTTTCTCCCAAGTGTTTCTTTCGCCGTCATTATCGTCATGACTTATCTCCATTCCGAGTAACGCTCGCGCCGGGTCGAATAGCAAACTCATCTACCGGGATGTAATTTGGAGACCCTTACGCCAGAGAATCGTAACTCAACCGGTACCATCCTCGGGGATCCCTCGAGCCATGCGTCTATACTACCGTGGCCGTCGACGGGCAGGCGGACCAGACTTGCCTAGTGTTTATCGGCCTCGTTGGTCGTCCATGCCTGTCTGCATCTCTTGTCAGTTTATCTACCTACCTACCCGCTCTGGATCTACTATGTACTCTTCTCTTTTCTCCGGCTCTCGGCGTCTCTTGCTTCGCTCCCTCATTTACCGCCGTTACTCTCGCCTTCTCTTTCTCTGCTTCTCGCGGCTCCGCCTTTTATCCGAAGGGAAAAGGACGAGACGTCGTCTTGGTCGGTAACGGCACTAAGGTAGTACTTATACGTGTCTCAGTGAGGCCTTTGTAACTCTTTCATCCGAGAAAAAGCTAGGAGTCTGATGAGATGCGGCGAACGAGAAGAGTTGGGAAGGCGGAAGGGTACGGCGGATAGATAGAGACGGCGGTAGGAAAAAGGGTAAGGAAAAGGGAGCAAATGAAGGAGTAGGCTCGGAGAAATCTGCAGGACTCTCCCTTTGATTGAGAAGACATTGACACTCCTGCCCGTACCCTTTCGTACTTCCTTTGTTTCTACGCCATTCTTCCTCCTCGTCGTATTTCTTCGCGGACTTGGATTCATCTCGCTGCAAGTCTGTGAAGTCGTAAGTACAAGGCCCGGGATTCGCCTTCATTAATTTGCGAAGGGTGGAGTCGCAAGATAAAGGGTGTCGCGGTAATTTATTTCAATATTTTTATTTGCGTGAAAGTTCGAAGAGAGAGATACGTTCATAGAATCGCCGTTATATCTGTAGCTGAGCCGCGACCACGCGATAAGTCGTTCAAGTAAAAGGAGAAAAGAATATCGATAGAGATTTATTAGTATGCGCAAAATAATAGACTGAAATAGCTCCCGTGCGTAACCAGTCGGATTAATTCAGGACCAGATTCCTCGCAGGAGGCGAAAAATGTTGCCGATCATAAATAAAATATTGTCACTCGGCATTAAGTCGCGGTTATTGCCCGTCTCGCGAAACGATAACGATAATGAGAAAGTGAATAGATCATAAAGCGATAAGAGCCGCGGATGAAGTTAAGCCGCAAATACCAGGTCGCTTTCTACTCGATTACACGTATCTCTATCCTTATGGAGTTTCTTGCGATCCGAGAATTATAATTACCTGCGGCAAGAAGGATCCTAAGAGTGAGTCGCGCTAACCTGCACAGTCATTCAATTACAGGGGGAATTTGTCGTGGCCAACTCGCGCGGGGCAACTTTTCAACAGCTTTTAACCGATAGCCCCGTATCACCGGGAACGTGATTTTGCGATATCGAGGGATTCGACGCGGCATTATCTTTCGTTTGCTTAGAACCAGCGCGCCTCGTTATCGCGCTCCGTTACTCTATCGCTGATTAACGTTAGCATACATTCGTGCCTTGCCGCTTTTCTCGTCGGCGCGTCTCTCGTCTGCGTTTGCGAATAATTGAATTACGTAATTATCTCTCCAAACGCGCGCGCGCGCGCGCCAGCAATACTCCAGGGCCGCCTTCAATTAGTCGCCGCCGCCCTTCATCTTCGCATCCACCTAGATCACGCTCCTGGGCTCCCGAAACGCGAAAACGACGAATTTCGGCCTCCGCTTAAATTCACGCGCTTCCAGCGAAAGTGTCGGGCTGGAAGCAGGTGCCACGAGACGTGCGATGACACAAATGATATTCGCGTTCTTAGTCAACAGGATTGTCTACTGACATGTGGGAATATACAGGGTGTCAGATTCGATATGGACAATCCCAAAGATTATAGTAGATTGGGTTAAACTGAGAAGAAAAGTTATATAAAATTTTACAAAATCGTAATTATTATCGGCCGAATTCAGAAAAACGTCTGAGC